AGACAAGTCTTAGAAGTTTGTGCCTGGTTTCCTCCAGACTTTGTTCCATGTGTCTTTTTCCTTTGCTGATCTTGCTCTGCATTTTTTCACTGTAATAAATCCTAGCCAGGAGAATGAATATATATTGAGTTCTCCTAGTACGTCATCCAATGTGAGGGTGGTTTTGGGGAACCTCCAATACAACAGTACATCACAATATCAACAACAAAAAGGGTTTATTCCAGGAATAAAAGATTGGTTAAAAATCAGATCAATCAGTGTAATTCACCATATTAGCAGAATAAGGAAGAAAAATCGTATGATAAAGAAAAACCATTTGATAAAAATCAATATCCATTCATAATAAAAATTCTCAGTAATTTCCTTAGTTTGGGAAATGGTAAATTAAAAATACCTATAGAAAATATAATACTTCAGACTGAAAGCCTGAGCTTTTCCTCTATCATTGGAAACAAGACAAGGATGCCTTTTTTTTTTTTTAGACGGAGTCTTGCTCTGTGGCCCAGGCTAGAGTGCAGTGGCGCAATCTCAGCTCACTGCAAGCTCCGCCTCCTGGGTTCACGCCATTCTCCTGCCTCAGCCTCCCGAGCAGCTGGGACTACAGGTGCCCGCCACCACGCCCGGCTAATTTTTTTTGTATTTTTTAGTAGAGATGGGTTTTCACCCTGTTAGCCAGGATGGTCTCGACTCCTGACCTCATGATCCACCCACCTCAGCCTCCCAAAGTGCTGGGATTACAGGCGTGAGCCACGGGGCCCGGCCAAGACAAGGATGCCTTCTATCACCACTTGTATTCAACACTGCATTGGAGATCCCAGCAAATACAAGAAGGAATTTTTATAACAACTTTATTAAGACAAAATTCACATACTATAGAAACCAACTATTTAAAGTATACAATATAGAAGATACAGAAGAAGAAAAAGATACAGAAGGTGAAAGGATTATAAAGGAAGAAATGAAACTTTTATTATTTGCAGATGACATAATTATAAATGAAAATCCAAAAGAATTTACAGATTTAGGATTAAAAAGCGAGTATAGGCCGGGTGCAGTGGCTAATGCCTGTAATCCCAGCACTTTGGGAGGCCAAGGTAGGTAGATCATTTGAGGTCAGTCGAGACCAGACTGACTGACATGGTTGAAACCCTGTCTCTACTAAAAATACAAAAAAATTAGCTGGGCATGGTGGTGCATGCCTGTAATCCCAGCTACTCGGGAGGCTGAGGCAGGAGAAGCACTTGAACCCAGGAGGCAGAGGTTGCAGTGAGCCGAGATCATGCCACTGCACTCCAGCCTGGGTGACAGAGTAGAACTCTGTCTCAAAAAAAAAAAAAAAAAAAAGCAAGTTTATAGCCAGGCGTTGTGGCAGGTGCCTGTAATCCCAGCTACGCAGGAAACTGAAGCAGGAGAATCGCTTGAACCCAGGAGGCAGAGGTTGCAGTGAGCCGAGATCATGCCACTGCACTCCAGCCTGGGTGACAGAGTAGAACTCTGTCTCAAAAAAAAAAAAAAAAAAAAAGCAAGTTTATAGCCAGGCGTTGTGGCAGGTGCCTGTAATCCCAGCTACGCAGGAAACTGAAGCAGGAGAATCGCTTGAGTCCGGGAGGCAGAGGTTGTAGTGAGCGGAGACTGTGCCACTGCACTCCATCCTGGGTGATACAGTGAGACTCCGTCTCAAAAAAAAAAAAAAAGAAATTACTTCCAAAATGTTTGGATCCTTTCCATTTATCTTGGGAATTTTGAAGGTTCCCCACCTGATGGTAACTGTAGGCACTCCTGATCAAAAACTGAGTTTAGTCAGGTTGCTGGATATATAAGGTATTAATATCTGAAAATTAGTACAGTTCCACATACCAACAATTAGGGAATTTGAAAAATAAAATTTTTTAAAGATTCTATTTATAGTGACAGAAAAAAAATCAAGTACCTACAAAGAAATCTATAAATTATTTGCAATATTTCTGCACAAAAAAATGTAGGCCATTACTGAGAAAAACCAAAGGAAATCTAAGTAAACAGAGAACTATACCATGCTTATGGATTAGGAGACTCAATCAAAACATGTTCATTAATTCTAAACAGATATATAAATGTAATTCAATGTTAATTAATTAATGTTAACCAACTTGATTGAATCTTTCCGTAATGTATACATACATCGAAACATTACACTGTATCCAAGAAACATACAAAATTATTATTTGACCATGAAAAATAAATAAATGAAAATAGCATTTTCATCTAAGTGAAAGAAGTCACACACAAAGGCCACTTACTGTATGATTCCAGTTATATGAAATGTTTAGAATAGGCAAATCCATAGAAGTAGAAAGTAAAGTGGTTTTTGCCAGGGGCTGAGGAAAGGAGGAAAATGAGTAGTGACTGCTAATGGATACAATATTTTCATTTTGGGTGATAAAAACATTCTAAAATTAGACGGTGTGATGGTTAGACAACTCTGTAAATACATTAAAAAGTCACTGAATTGTATATTTGAAGGGCTGAATTCTATAGTATGTGAATTATATCTCAATAAAGTAGTTATTTAAAAAATTTAAAAATTCAAATAAAATTTATATGGAACAACCAAGACATCTGGGGAGTGGGGAGGGAAGGAGAACAGCAGAAGGCCTTGATCTACAAAATATCTAGACTTAAAAGGCCAAGAAATAGACAAGAGATTCATGCACAAATGGACCATGATTTATGATAAAGATAGCACTCAAAACAGTTGCAAAAAGATAGTTTCCAATAAATGATGCTAGGACAAATGAGTATCTATATGTTTAAAAAATGAAATTTGATCTTTACTTTATTCCACACACAGAAATCAATTCCTGGGGGACTATACAGCTAAATGTGGAAGGCAAAACAATAAAGCTTCTGGAAGATAATAGAGAAAGTATCCTCAGAGGAGACAATTGGGGAAAGGAAAAACTTATTAAATAGAGAACAAATATCATTAACCATAAAGAAAAAGATTGACGAATTTGATTACAACAAGAACTCTTCATCAAAGATACCACTGAGAGTAAAAGGCAAGTCACAGAAAAATTATTTGCAATCATATAAGTGACAAAGCACTCATACCCAGAATATACAACAAACTTCTACAAATTAATCTAGAAGACAGGTAACTCAGTAGAAAAACAAGCAAGAGACTTGAATGAGTACTTCACAAAAGAGGATATCCAAATAGCCAAAAATATATGAATAAAATGCTCAACCTCACTTGTCATCAGGGAAATGCAAACTAAAGCCACAATAAAATACTACATACCTACCAGATTGGCTGAGATTTAAAAATTAATAACAAATGTTGAGAAGCATATGGAACAGTGGGAATGCTCACATAGTGCTGGGTGGGAGTGTAAAATGGAAAACAATCTGGTATCACCTACAAAAGTTGAAGATACACCTATCCTATGGCCTAGCAATTCAACTCCTAGGCACAAATCTCCAAGAAATGTATGTGCATGTGCACTGAGAGACACTGAAAATTCACAAGAAAATTTCACAGAAAACCACAAATGTCCATCAAACAGTAGAACAGAAAATAAATTGTGGTATAGTCATACAATAAAATCCTATGTAGCTATAAAACTAAACAAACCACAGCCACACATTACAGATAAAATATTAGAATTTACAGAAAAAATATTACAATTAAAAAGTGGATGAATCATAATAATGTTCAACAAAGCAGCCAGATACTGAATAAGCTATACTGAATAAATTAATAAAAATTCCAAAACCTAAACTGGAGTGTTAAAGGATACATATTTAGATAGTAAAACCGTAAGAAAAGCAAAGAAATGATTACCATGTAAGTCAAGAGAGTGGTTGTCTTTGAGGAAGAGGCACTAAGAATTTTGAGGCGCTGGCAGTTAGCAATTTCTTGGCCTGGTGGTGGTTACCCAGCTGTTCTCTTTGTGATAAATCACTGATTAATACGTATTGTTTTGTATATACTTTAGTTTTATGTTTTTAAATTATTATACAATTAGGGCCAGGCATGGTGACTCATGCCTGCAATCAATCTCAGCACTTTGGGAAGCTGAGGTGGTACGTACGATCACTGAGCCCAGGAGTTCGAGACCAGCTTGAGCAACACAGTGAGACCCCATCTCCACAAAAAAATCAGAAAATTAGCTGGGCATGGTGGCATGCACCTGTGGTTGCAGCTACTTAGGAGGCTGAGGTGGGAGGATCACTTCAGCCTAGGAGGTCGAGGCTGCAGTGAGCTGTGATTGTGCCAGTGCACACCAGCCTGAGCAACAGAATGAGATCCTGTCTCAAAACAACAACAACAAACAACAACAAAATACAATTAGAAGGGTTAAAAAAGAAAACAAAAATCAAACAACGTGAAAATCAAAATCTGATGTGTGCTAGATTAGATTATTTCTCTGGGCATTAGTTATTCCCTGATAGGAAGCTAAAGGCTTTAAATGATATTAACTATTTGGGGTGATGGGAGAAGTCACAGCCAGGGAGTACAATATTTAGAGGCATGCTATGTTATACTGTAGACATATCCATGTTAATATAATAGGAAAGTTAAGATAGAACATTTGAAAGATGTTTAACCAAAGTTAAAAAGCAAATCACTCACGAGGTGTAAGAGGATAATTTAATACATTTCAAAGTTTAAATTATGTATTTACCTTCCAACTCCTAACAATACTGCATTTCCTAATACCTTGGCAAACAACAGGAAGGAAAAGTATGGAAAAAATAACCATGATATGATTTATAAATTAATTTCCTGGGTATTATCTTTGTATTTCTAAAACCAAGTCAAGCTAACAATAAAAATGTTTCCATTTAAGCAGATTTAAGGGAAAAACTAATAATTCTTTCAGGTGCCTATGTTCAGAACTCTTCAAATGAACATCCTCTTTTTAAGTTCCCATTTATCATTTAAAATGCTACTGTGTTTAATTAGGTACTATTTCAAGAAACTATACAGAGTTAGATGCATTAAGAAACTCTACCTGCAATCTATTCACTTTTTGCGCTTCTTTCAAAGATACCGCATGCCCTTTGTTTTCCTGTACCATCATCTGCACTTGATTCTTCAGTTCCTTCACCTCCAGTTCCTTCTGATTAAATACTACTTCATCAGCAGCAAGCGCACACTAGTGGGGAAAGAAGGCACAAGTGACATTCACCACTGAAAATAATCAAGAAACCTCATATGATAACACAAAATGGTGATTAGATTATAGCTTGATGACGTCTCATGAATTTTTTTTTTTCATTTTCAACTTTTTCTGATTTCTTTCTAAGGAAGGCAGAGTTGAGAGAACCTATCATTGCTATAACATAGGAATTCATTACCGTGAAGACAGAAGATTTTCCTGATTTTTCCTTCCTGTATATAAAAACTAGTTGTTTTGGTTCTAGAGTACCTTCACTAAGATTTTTACAAGTTTGCTAGAACTACTACGAGATTTTAATGTGGATCACTCAAAGAGCTCACATTTCCCAAATTGACATATAGGGTTATAAGAATACATTTGGGCATTTGAATGAAGTAGATTTGCTGATTTTGTACACTTTCGTCATGAAGAGATATATTCTGAAGATGTCAAAAAATGATTAAACAGCTTTACTTCTTGGTTTCTAATAAATTTGCCTATTTTTAAGAACACTTGGGATATGTAAACAATAAAGTAGTTTTTAAATTAAATAAACAGAAAATTATTTGTCAAGTGCCTCATTCCACATGTTGGCTTGGCATTTAAAAAATCTCACTAAATAAGATGTTGGCATAGATGCGGTGATCAGGGAACACTTCTACACTGCTAGTGGGAATGTAAACTAGTACAGCCACTATGAAAAACAGTGTGGAGATTCCTTGAAGAACTAAAAGTAGAACTACCATTTGGTCCAGCAATCCCACTACTGGGTATCTACCCAGAAGAACAGAAGTCATTATACAGAAAAGATACTTGTACACGCATGTTTATAGCAGCACAATTCACAATTGCAAAATTGTGGAACCAACCCAAATGCCCATCAATCAATGAGTGGATAAAGAAACTGTGATATATATATGTATCTGAGAGTAAAAGGCAAGCCACAGAAAAATTATTTGCAATCATATAAGTGACAAAGCACTCATACCCAGAACATACAACAAACTTCTACAAATCAATCTAGAAGACAGGTAACTCAATAGAAAAACAAGCAAGAGACTTGAATGAGTACTTCACAAAGGAGGATATCCAAATAGCCAAAAATATATGAAAAAAATGCTCAACCTCACTAGTCATCAGGGAAATGCAAACTAAAGCCACAATGAAATGTGGCTTTCCTGGCAATAACAGCGAAACTCTGTCTCCAAAAAAAAAAAAAAAAAAAAAGAGCATTTATCTGTTCAATGTATTTGTGTTCATGTGTTTTTTTCTGTGTTCAAAACTTGGAATAAAAAGGGCAATAAAGTCCCTTAAGAGATACTTTAAGAGATACTTATGAGCAGGTAGAATGTTCCAAACATTGACTCATGGTGAAAAATCAAGGTTGCAACACTATCTGGCAGCTTCTAAAAATAAGATGGTAACTTCAAAATGACACTTAACTTCCCTAGCAACAATCCAGCTGTTACTCCATCTGCCAGATGGCCCACGATCTTACCTTGGCTAAGAATTTTTAAAATATGTACTGACCTGCTTGCCTAATAGGCTCAAGGATAACAGGGATTGAGAAAAGGATATCCTTGCTTGTCGCACAGACCTGCTGGTCACCTTGCCCAGCAATCCCCCTAAGCAGCTGAGTTTACCAAGCTGCCTTCACAGTAACCCCTGGGATGTAACCCTACCTACAACTACTGAGTCCAATCGCTTAGCTGCCACTGATGTATATCGTAGGCACGGGCAGGTGAAAAATGAATGAGAGGTATATATAGTAATAAGCTAACATACATTATGTCTTAGAACAGGCCAGGCATCCTCATTGCTTTATGGGAATAAATGCTTTAATATTCGCACAACCGTATAAAGTGGGTATTACTGTTTCTATTTTACAGATGGGGAAACTGCAGCACAAAGGCCAACTATTTGCCCCAGGTCATACAGCTAGTAAGCAAAGGAGGCAGGATTCGAACTTAGGGAGTTTGGTATCCATATTCTTAACCAGTATGTTATTCTGCCTGTCATAGAAGAACAGAAAAGAAAGTTTTAAAAATGATTTTCTAGTCAGGTGCAGTGGCACACACCTGTAGTCCCAAGATACTCATGAGGCTGAGGTGAAAAGCTATGTCCCGAGTGGCTGGGACTACAGATGCATGCCACCACACCCAGCTAATTTTTTTTTTTTTTAAATTTTTGTAAAGACAGGGTCTCACTCTGTTGCCCAAGCTGGTCTCGAATTCCTGGGCTCATACGATCCATCCACTTTGGCTTTCCAAAGTGCTAGGAATACAGGTGTAAGCCACCATGCTGGCCAAAACAATTTTTTAAAGAGATATATGCCGGGCACAGTAGCTCAAGCCTGTATCCCAGGACTTTGGGAAGCAGAGGCGGGCAGATAACTTGAGGTTAG